ATGTAACTACCGAATATACATATAAGTCCCACCTTAATTACTTAGCATGCAAAACATTAGTAATTCACCATGTACGAACAATCCCCATGACTAGGCCATAGCATGCAGTTTATCATTTTACCGCAACCAAATCCTAGGCCCAATCATGCTTGTACGTACTAACAACAACAATCAAGCTCAACCGTTCGTGATGCAATGCTACCGCTAAAATAAAATTAAGCATGCAATACATATAAAATACGTATAAATTCCTCGGGTGTTCTGTCTATATCGAAAACGCATTGCAACACTTAGCGTTTATCATATAACAAAAGGAGGTTTAGAACCCACGCATACCTTTGCCGTGGCACCACACTAGGGCAATGGGGTTCTAAGGTTCCTACATCTAGAACATAACCTATCCCCTAAGGTTTGATGTTCCGATGCTTGACCGCTAGCCGGAAAGGTTGATGGCACGTGGGCTGAAGCTAACCTAAGCTCCAGATGGGTGATAGGGCACGAAGTTGCGAAATGGCCAGAACTGCCACAAGTGTAGCAGTTCACCAAACTCGGGTCAATCGTACTGTATATGGACTAATATCGAGGCGCATAAGGATAAGTATACGTTCGATGTCCATACTGCCCGCAAAAGCGACAGTAGGTCATAACGTATGATGATGGTCTGGCTCCATACTCGATGTTTCCTCTTCCCCTTGGTGTCGAAAACCGATACTTATCTCCTGCTAATCCATAAGACCAACGACCGGATCTTCCTTGAGTCATTCCCCTTCTATACCTTTCCGTTTCATATCCTTGAGTGCACCGAGTCGGTCACAAAGTCTGTTGGCTCCCAAGTCTGCCCAACTCCTGGTGAACTGAACCTGTTACCAATCTGACTTTCTGTTCCAAAACTATCCCTTCCTCTTAACGATTCTATCCCATCTACAAAACCTAATTCTCATAACAATCCCACTGAATACTCCCTACTTGCGTTCTGCCGTGCAATGTAGGCTCCGATTCTGATTGTATCAGTTCCCGATGACACACCAGCCATACTTATTCCTTGCTCACCGGAAAAGGTTTGATGTGGTGCTGGTAACACTTCTGCTGCACTTATCCTGGGCCTACTCGGAATCGACTGATATGGGGCCGATGTTGCCCCGGCCATGCCCATCCTTAGCTACCGAACACTATCTGAAGAGGGACAGTGCTGTACAGCGAATCTTCTTCCGGAGATATGTCTGGACTCCAGTACCCATTCCAGAAACGATTCAGATCTTCAATTATCTCCGCCGGTGCTTTGTAACGTCTCAATGTTAGATCTCGATCTTGCGAGGTCTAAGTCTGGCTAGGAAGCGGAGGCATCCGAATCCTGGATTCCATTGGAACTGGCTATCACTTCTGTCAAGTGACATGAAGCTATCCGACGAGATATCAATGTACATGGGCGAGTTTCGTGTCAAGACGGGCACTTGTGCCGGCTCTGGACCAATGCCAGGCAACATATCCATTGGTTCCTCTATAAGATCTTCTTCTGGATCCTCCTCCGATTCTTATTCCACACTTTCCATACTTTCCTCACGTTTATCTCGATATGCCCCCACTCCATAGTGTATCGGTGAGAACATCGGCTGATCTGATTCTTCCGGCTCACTCGGCGGTGCTCGCCTATTCACACCACCAGACTACCCAGTTTCCTTTGAACTATCTGATTCTTCAATCGCATGCCCAATCACTTCATCAGATGTGTCTTCACTTCCCGATAAGTCGATCACTTCAGACCACGGCCCACCCCTCCTTACTCTCTTTGGCACCATCATTCCTAAATCACAATGAAAAGGTAAGTCCTATTATT